TTTGGAAAGGTATATTTAAAATAAAAAATTGCAACATTTTATTATTATCTTAGTACTCATTGACAAATTTTTAATTGTTCGGGTCATAGTGTTCGGGTACTTAATTCTTTGTGGTAGGTCACCGCTGCTGACACAGGAAATCACATTTGCAGAGACGGCCAGTTTGCGAGCAAATCAGTACGGAATACTGAACCTTAAAGAACCCGTATCCTTATGCTAACAAAGGTGGGTTTGCCGTACAAACCGTTTGCAAGACCATAAAGTAGTTTCCGAAATTCCTGAGAATTTAAATAGGAGATTTTCTAAACAGGTCATTTAAGAAACAATATATTTCAGCATCGTACAGTAGCAGATTTAGTAGCTTTCGGCGCGTCGCAATTTGTGCAGTAGCATTACAATTTGATTTTTATTTTAGTACCTTTGTCTTTGTACTGTAAATGTTATTGTTGTCAGTCATATTTAGAAAAGGTAAGTTTTCAGTTCTTATAATTTTCATAAAAGTGAACGCCATTTCATTTTTTATTGAAGAATTTTTTGTTTAAAATAAAATTAAAATTCGTAAATTATTAATATATTTAAAAAGGCCCTTTGACATTGCCACAAATTAAAAAAAAGTGTTAAATTGCTGTTAATTTTTTTTCTGTTATACAAACAGTGTATAATTTTTTTTCGGCTTCGACAGGCGGGTATTACGAAATCTGCTATTCAAAATGACAACATTTTGAAGACACTTTCGGGCACCCGTTGGTTGACTCACGCTGTGCAACTTCAGCAATCTTGGAATCATTTAATAAGATAATAAATACTTTACACTATATATTTACAAGTATAACTTGTAAATGAAGGTAGATTCTTGTTCAATAAAAAATTAATAAAGTGTCAAGGCGTTATGCAAACACTCTCTTATTTCTGGGGAGGGTTGGGGGCACCACCAGTCTTTGGTGCCTAGGGCATTAGAATAGTTAAATCCGGCCCTGAACACAACTGATATTTATCATTTTTCATCAGCTTCGAAAACGGTGAATTGTTATTTAAATTCCTGTATTGGAATTTGGTGATAAAGACCTCATGTTTAGATGTAATATGTATGTGACAAGTTGTTCGATGTGATGTAAGGAGATACCCGCCGATAACAGTATATACCTATGCACTTGTTTACAGTTTATGAATAATTCACAACCATTCGTCTTTTGCGATTTTCGTTCTTGATTACCAGCGAACCTGATGAGCTCTTCAAGGGAACGTATTTTCTTCAGTAATGGAAATTCACCTAATATGGGCCCCTTTTATGAATCTGAGTCAATTTATGCATACCAAAGTGTGTTCAATTGTCGCATTTAAAAATTAACTGAATTTTGGCGTGTAAAAATGAGGACAAATGTTCGGCACCGTGTGGGAATCGAACCTACATCACTATTTTGCCTGGCGAGTGTTCTTATCACTAAACTATCAGGGCCGACTTGCTGTTCCTCTGTGACGGGTTGAGAGATGTAAAATTTTCAAATAAATCAGATTCCTTTTTCTCGTTGTTGATGTTTTTGACTAATTGTGAGTCGTGGACTTTGCCAGACATATGGTAATAATGTTATTTATTTATTTCGTAGACGGGCCAATGAAGATGGTAACACATCAGAGTAAGCAGTAAGGGATACTTAAAAGTATATGCTTATAGTTAAAATTGAGAGTACATTATTTTATAACAAGCAAAAGTAAAACTTTTTGTGACGAGTCTATAAGTTTGACGGCTCACCGAAGGCAGCCACAGAAAGTTATTTTTCTCCGAATAAAATATACTATTTTTTCTTCAAACGTCTGCAATTAAATTACAGAAGTAATTTAAAAAATTGGAATTGTAAATATGAATGAATTAAATTATATCTGGATACTGTTACTACTTATTAAAAGAGAAATATTTGCGACTGAATTATTTAGTGTGAGTGAGTTGTATATTACCAATGCACCTCGCTCGACGTTGCAAAAGCAGCCGCAGCAGCCACAAATCACCTTCGGCCAACAAAATTGGGAGCAGTGTCCGAAGTTGCTTCTAAACAATTTTACTTGGAGTTCTACGTTCACTGCAGATTTACCTTTTCGATTTTTCTACTCTTCCAAATGACAGTTTCAGAAAGAAAAAAAGCATAATTTTAAAAATAAGTTTATTGCTTATAAAAATCCAAGCTAACTATATGGTAAAATCTTAATCTATTTCCCTACAACTAACTGTACAATTTAACAATACCCTTCAACCATTTTCTCTGGCCTTTATCCACAAACTGTTTTCGTGTTTCCTTTCTTCTAGTTTTTTCCACACCTAGAGATGGTAGTGAAGAAGTTCTGCTGCGAGAGCAAAACCCTTCATCTGAGATGAGAATGGGCGAGTTTTGGACTTGGCGACACATTAACTCGAACGGGGCGTAATTCTATTCGTTTTCTAAATTTTGGTCCAATGTTAAGTTTGGGACCACATTCAGGTTCGAGTCACGTTCCATCAAATCCAAGAAAATGGGTTTGGGGGCTAAGATGGACGGTTGATTTTCACGGGCAACTCTCGGTCTCAGTATTCGCGAAGGCAATGGACGCTGTTTTGATGGCAATATACATACAAAATTTGACAACAATCGGTCCAGTAGGTTCGGAGAATACTTGTTTAATAAAAGGGGTTACAGACACCAGACAAACAGATAGACGGAAACGGGAGACCACTTTTTTCGTACTCTTGAGGCCATGACACGTCGAGAAAATATGAAAGTGGCAATTCGGCTGATGGACTCGATTACTATACTTCCTTAGCTTACGCTCGAGAAGTAAAAAAGCAGAAAAAGAGAGTAACGATTTATAAGAAATCAAATATCAACACACACAAATCTCACACGTCAGATATAGAAATTTTCAAGAAAAAAGGTTTTGTGGTTTTAGTTGATTGACAGATTAAGTTCATGGTATTAAAGAGGCTTAAATCCATGAAAATAATATCCTTAAGTTGCTTTAGAATATTGCTCTACTCCGAATAACCGTACTATTATTTATTTTCATACTTATTTTGTTTTTCAAAAAACGGTTGATCGATTAGTAGGTAATTAATTTGAGTATAAGTAGAAACTGGAGCTAGGTTACGTTATGGTTGAGTATGGACCAGCAAAACCACAAAACTAAGCTTGATGTTTTTCAGTGTACTGCACTGTGGAGTGTGGTTACATCCAAACGAAAAGACACCCAAAATTCAAGTCGTCATTTTTCTTATTTCCTCCATATTTTTACTGTTTTTGGTACGAAAAAATCACCATGGGACTCATTTCTGGCACTTTCAAGTCGACTTTCACTCTAGTTAGTGTGAGTATTTTGCGAAAATACTCAAAACTAGAGCTTCGTTTCATCGTTTCAGGTGTTGCCAAAATTCGTTACTTTGGCGCTGGTGCGGCGCAATCTCAAAAATTTACTAAAAACAACGGGAAAGTTCTGGTTTTCTCAACAATTTCAGGAAATTAATAACTACTTAGTTGAAAATTTTGACTTTAGTTTTGCGTTCATTTTTGTTTTCTGTTACTTTGGTGATTTTAATTTTCGCGATTTGGCCCAGTTTTAACGACGCTTTGACTACAAATGGCTACATTCCTGTTTTCTCCAGGCTTCGTTTTCATGGTTCTTAATAATTTGTTTTTTTCGTTTTCTGGTTTTACTGTTGGTTCTTTTGATACCCATGTTTGTTTGTGTGATGGCCATGCTGGTGGCGTTACAATTAAAAATCTAAAGTCGAGTAATTATGGGATTAAATTAACGAAGACTGTGAAGAGATTGGTCCTAATAAATTGAAAAAGTGTGTCAACTATCACAATTTTTTGAACGAGTAACAAATTTTCGGGTTATAGTTTTTTGCAGGAAGTTACGAGTAATTCGATTGGCATTATTGGTGTATTTTACACTAGTTTTGATCTGTTCTTCGTATCGAAAAGGCAAGATTGATATCGAAGTTTCTCTTAATTTTTAAATGTCGAAAAAATAACAAAGTTCTTACCTCAAATTTGGCCGAAATTGCAAAATCTTGCATCTACGTTTTTGGAATTGTAATCGAGTTGTTTTTCTTTTTTTATCTACCGGCAACGTATCTCATGATTGAGGTACTTCAGCACGCTTTGTTTCAAAATTTCAAGCAACATTTTTCAGTCTGGAAAAATGGTCAACATCATGTACAACACCCACTGGAAAAATTCGTGTTCTTTACCATTCTATCGGTTAGAAAAATGGTCAAAATAAATCTGGAGACACGCTTAAATGTTTTCAAAAACCGAAATATGACTGCACTGTGTAATTTACAAAATTGTAGGCGTTCCGGATGGGCGTTTCCTTCTATATGAGCTTGCAAATTGTTGACGAAAGGGCTAGACAAAAAAGTGGAAATAGGAATTTTTTAAAGCAATATTTTAAGCACAATATCCACTAATCCATTATCCAGAGTTATGTGGATATCGTTGATCTTCGGTGTGACGCGGTCATTGACCAAGTTGCATCTTATGTAGCTATGTTTGACTGTATGACTGTACGCAAATTTTGCTGTAAGTTTATTTCACTCACACTCAAAGGAAATCTCTCCGTATTATGCTCTACCCAAGGTCAATATTTATAATTTACCCAACGAACCATTTTATAAATGCAAAAGTATCAATGTATGCATCTTTTGGAGTTTTAGGATAAAATAAATCATAATTACGAAACACCTAACGTTATCACTTGGGAATTAATTTGAAAACCCTAATAACGTTACTTATTATGTAAATTACTATTATCAACTTACAAGCTTCAAGTGTGGGGCATTCAAAATAAAACGTAGAAAGATGTAGCACAAAATTTATTTTTTACTAATAGGTACTGTTAAAATATTGGTATTTATTAGTATGGTCAGTAAATCACCTACAATTCTTTCTGTTATTTTTTTTGTGTGCTCCCTGTAACGATTGATTTTTTAAGGATCAATGGGTGTTAAAAATTGGATGTTATAGTAAAAAATATCTATTTGCCATAAAGTTACAACGTAGATAATACATGCTGCCACAGAATTTTTAAAGGCAATAAAATTTCATGACTATTATTGTACCACTTCATAAAATATACCACACAATCAACACTAAACATACAACGTTTGTACATAAATTAATAGTTTACATAATTAATATTCATGCTTTAAACAAATTTGTCAAGACATGTCAAGACATTCGCTTGATAATACAAAATTGCATCGCCTTAATAATAATATTAAAACACTAAAAACGCACGCAACTAGAAGTTCTAAAAAAGTATAAATACCTAAAACCTAATAAAGCATTTTATGCTAATATTATGTGATAATATGTTGCATAGTGTTATAAACTTGTTCATAAGGATCTTCATCAGGACTATCTGGACTGATACTGATAACCTCTTCAGTCGATGGTTGCGTGCCTACGAGTGGTAAACCCAAAATAACTCTAATATTATCTGTTAAATGTTCGGCTTCTTTTATTTGATGAAATATTCCTTCAGCTTTCACTAATATAGCTGGAACGTCAAGTTTTCCACACAAGTCATTTATATGCTAAAAAGATGCAAACAAATGAATCACCACATTAATATTTTAAGCAACAAACTTACCTTCAATATTTCCGTAAAACCGTAATTATTTTCCATAAGTGCTTGCTTCTCTGTTTCTAATATCGCAACGCAAACGAGTAAATGAAAATTATCACAAGGTAGTCCAGACCATAACACTTCCCATAATCTCATTACATCTTCAAAGCTTAGCTCTCTTTTAAACCAAACGAGCAACCATCGAAAACAAAAGAACATGTTGCCAGAGTCATGTTTGTCTAAGTAGTTCACTAGTTGCGGCTCAATAAAACCTAGTATAGTGTGAAGATTTTGTAGTTGTTCTTTCATTCCCGCTTGATCTATGTCAAAATTACTGTTCTGGAAGATCAAAAACAATATTATTTATTTAAGTATAATTTATAACGATTATAAAGTACTTACAATCTTATTCATAAATCCTACAAAACACCAAAACGCATCCACCTCGTTTTTGAGAAGGTGTAAAATCGGCGACAAAAGATCGCTCATACCTTGCACATAACCCAAATCAAAATTGTACATCACGTATGTCATAAGAATATCATAAAGTAACTGTAGATTGGGATTATTGTCTCCAGCATAGAAATCCAATGTTCTATCTGTTCTATTTACATCTTTCTCTATCAAATTTTTCCGTTCTCTAAAATCCGAAAAATTATCTTCTTGTACTCTGGTCATACGTTTCCACTGCAGTTTCATATTGTAATATTCGTCGTTTTTCTCGCAGAGCAACTTTTGTCGTTCCACTTGAGTACTGTCCCAAGGAAAGTAATCCAGAAGGTATTTCCATACTTCGTAACGTAAATTTGGCGCGACTCCCTTAATGCAGAAGTTAGTTTATTTTCACGAGACTCAAAATAACTCACCCCTCGGAATATCATTAATTTTATTTGGTCTACGTCTTCTAATTTGCCCTCGTGGTTTTGGAGATTTTTCCATTGTTCTGTACTTAAGGGGCGACCTCTTGGGTAGTCCTTCCGTTCGGGAAGTTCAGGAACTTTGGCTATTACTTCGTAGTCACCTTGACAATGTGTGCTGGCGTATTCTGTAAGACTTCGATGCAGTAGTTCTCTTTGATCGTCATCGATGTCTCTTTGATCAGGGCTTCTGTAAACTGATGTTTAAAAGTTATTTTATTGTCTATAAAAATATGATAAATTTTTACAGACAACTAATTAACTCAGAGTTAGACTCAATTACCTTACACTGACACGTATTTATAAACGATATTTGTAGCAAATTTGGAATAACTTTAAGCAACGTAAAAAATTTTGAATGTATTGTTACGAAATAAACCCATACGCCGCCCCGGTACGACTCCTGGTCGTACGCCTGTGATGACTCATCGAAGGCGAACGGGGTGTTCGCAATAAAGACAAGTCTGGAGCCGGCCACCGGAAGTCTCGATTGCGGGGTCTAGAAAAAACCTAGAAGCGGCGTTCGCGATCCATCTAGAGAAATGCCGGAATTTAAATAGAGGGCAACGTCGGGAACAATTATTCAGTCGAATGTAATCCAAACAACGAGAGCTGAATTCAGTGGAACCGAGAAGAGCCAGACAAGTCGCGCCGGAAATAGTTTGTACATAATCGCTGTAATTTTTTTTTTCGTTTTACTACGTCGTAGGTACAAGAGAATCTAATTATAAAAGAGGAAAAGATCATCATAAAGAAAAAATAACATATAGCTGTTTTATTACAAAAACTGTCCAATCGTCGGATGGACCTTATTACAATACTGCCCTAGTTTACTGGCTCGGGATGGGAAAAAATTAAATCAAGGCTCTTCTATATAGTTGCAGCAAACATTTTGAAAATGATTTAATTAAGTTCTTTGTTGGTTTTAACTTATGATATGATGTTGCTGGTCATATTCGCATGTGGTATTTCCGACCAAAGAGTTGATTCACCGATGTATTTTGATAGTGTAAAAGTAGTGAATCATTAGAAAAGAAAGTTAATAATAAAATTATATAAAATTATATTATAGATTACTTTTAAATGACAAAGTTTGTAAATGAAATTCACGAGTGTTTTAAGTAAAAATAATTTTACTCAAAATAATATAGAGACTTTTGTATCGTATTACTTCATTTTAATATTTTTTCGTTACGGAGATATTGGATGACGATTTATCCATTTAAATATTTACTTATTTATCTTTATATTTTCTAAGTAGTAAATTATTTATTATGTAGGAGCAACGTATATGGTAACATAACACTCCAAGAACATTTTATAAAAGAGATTGGTAATGGAACTTAAAATTGATCCAACAATAATTATCACAACAAATTTGATTTAATTCAAATCAACGTCTTAAATGAGATGATAAATGAAACAAAACAAATATGCAATCTTCGATATTCCAACGGTTTACGTAGCCCATGCCAGTCAAGTTTTCACATGGCATGATTTTTCCGACTTACTCGACAATTATTGTCATAGTTCGTTGTTGAGATTATCGCGTTCAGACAGATAGACAGACAGACAGAGACTTTGTTTAATACTATGTATGGATAATAATAATCAATAATAAGTTTGTTACTAAATATTAGTTTGCTAAGCTTTCGGTTATTATGAATTAAATTACTTGCGACGCTACGTTATAAACACTGGTGAAAATGTTCAGAAATTTTCCCTTGATTTCTGTACATTACTTTTGTGCCGTAAACAGATTACTCTAACCTGACACACTTGTTTAAATAAAGTGGGGACATCAACCCTGTAATTGGTTACTCATCGCTATTGTAAACTTTACATCAAAAGGCAAAAATGTGCCATCTGCTCAAAGTATTAATTATTTTAAAAAACGCCATTGAATGTTCTCAATAGAATCTACTTAATACTCAGTTGCCGGTTGCTCTCCATACAACACTAGCATATTTAAGCCTCGATCTCATAAACGCACAATATAGACTGATGAATGTGCTATAATTAAAGTCTTTATTTAGCTCAATACACCGCAAACCCTAACCTTTACCAGCGTCTGATGTTACTAAAACGTTTATATTTCACAATCCACAAAAGAAATTGACAGATCAGTGTAACTCTTAAATCGTTCACAATTTCTGGTAAATACTTTTATCAAACTAGTAGTTTTGTAAAGGTTAAACTACAAGTTCTAAAACTGAGCCAAGAAAATAATTTGGATTTATGCATTAAAAAAAAAGTAATATTGGGTGATCAATATCGATTAATCGAATCATCCCTGAAGTGTAGCCGTATTACTTTATATCGTGTCTAAAACAATGACTTTTTTAGGAATCCGACGTTGTGGATATGAATTAAAAAAAAAAATGAAATTGCAATAGGTATATTTGCTAATTTATTAATGCTTTCATATAAAATATTTACTGGAGGTTTAATGCTTAATTTTTGTTACCAATTCAACTTTATGAATGTTACTTAAAAAATGTTCACATAGCCAATTAAATTTGTTAATTGTAAAAATTAAGAATTACTTCTTTTCAGATATTTCGTTCTACTGTTTGAAAAATGGCGTTTTCGTTGGCATTTAAAGTCTATTTGGTTAAGCCGGCAGTTTTCTGTTGAAGACACTTGGGATGAATTTTGTGAACAGTTTCTTAATTGTGGACTATACACAATACTCCATTGTCCTGAAACGCTGTGTATCTTGGTTTCCAGAAACCGAAGGTTTAGAAAAAAGAAAATGAAATGGCAAGCCAAAATCCAAAAGAATTCCGGAAAACATTGAAAATGGAAGAATGGTTATGGAAAACTTAGGCAGAAGTTTATATGCATTTCCCTACGTTGGAATATGCTTCAGCTCACCCTAAAAATGATGAAACGTATATGTATATTATGGTTACCTGGTTTCTTAACAAATTATGTGCTAAACTCGTTTTAGATTTTAACTCCCTGCTCATCATCTGGTGGTAAAGTCCAGGGACAGACTTCAATTACAAATTTTATTGAAGTAGTGAAGCCATTACCGTTAAGAAAGAGCCGTCTTTTTGATGAGCAGCTGGTAAGAATAATCAGTAAGGGATTTCATCCATTTAAAATTGTTGAGGAACCAGAATTTAAAAAATTCGTGGCCATGTTAAATCCTTCTTATCAGTTGTCTTCTAGAAAGACATTTCATCAAATTGAAACTCGGGTCCATCAAAAACCGAATCTAGCTTCAGCAGTTTGTTTGTCTACTGACGGGTGGACGTCGTTAAATAACACTTCTTATTTAGCTCTAACACCACACTATCTGCTGCAAAATGCAGATTTATTAATAATTAACTCGTCCGTTTTGACATGTACCGAATTATTGATTGGGGTATATCAAACAAAATCTCCGCAATTGTCACAGACGATGCAGCAAATATGGTTGTTCAGGGGTTGCTGAATCTACTAAATCTGCTGCACAATCCACTCCGTCGACTTCGACCGCTTCCTCGTTGTGGTTCGAATTTGAAGAGGAAAATAAGAAGGTACATATATATATATATTTTTTTTTTTTTCATATAATCTGTTTAATATTCAAACCACCTGCTACGTATATATATTTTTTAATAAAAAATTCTTATTTTCATAGTTAACGGGCGCTACCAACCGCACGGTGGTCAGTATTACTGAGGTGGACAAATATTTAGCAGAACCACTTCTTCCCCGCCACTTGAACCCGCCGAACGACGGGCGGTTTACCTACACTTATATGAACTGATGACCAGAAGACTATGTATAATGGCGGCTTCGGTCCCGTGTGAACTTGTGTTTTCGACGGCGGGCCATTTATTTAACGAAAAAAGGACCCGGCTGAAGTCGTCGAAATTGTCCGAGTTAATTTTTTTTACAGAAAAATTTAGAATAGAAGTTTTTAGACTGCATTTTAATGTTTGTGTTTTTTTAGTCAATTAAGTTATTTATTTTATAGGTAATTGTAGTTATTTACTTTCTCCGTTTGTTCATGTAGGTTTTAGTCATAGTTTATTATCTTTTTTATGTTTTTATATTAGTTAAGTTAAATTTATTTTATAGGTAATTATTGTTGTTGTTTTGTAGGTTTAATATAGATTTTACTTTTTTAATACAATGCACATCATATTTCAAATACGATTTTGTTTCATTTTTGTCTATACCGCGTTCGAAAAAAAAAAGTCCATGTCCGTAGCCGTGTTATTTTTTTAGAATACAGGATTGTGTGACGTCAGAGCGTTTTAAATAAGCTACGACCTGATTAATTAACAATATTTAACGTTCATTTGTTTTTGTCTACGACATTCAACTTTTTTAATACACCGTATACATTGTTTAGTGGTTCTTCTAGTTTTTTTTTCTGAATTCATTGATTTAGCACATGCCATATTTTACTCAAAAGTTGCTTGGAAGTTGTGATAAAAACGAATTTAATTTTTGTGTCAAAACGGCTATTGATGTATTTATTAACACAATTATTTGCGTCCACAAATCAAGTTACTTCTTTAAATATTAAATTATTATTTATACATCAAAGAATTCAGAAAAAAATCTTTATATGAATCTCTAAAAAAAATGGGGGGCATTAAAAAAATGTCGTAGACAAAACTAAGTAAACGTTAAATCATTCATTTTTCGAATCAGATCATAGTATATTTCAAACGATATTTAATTTGACGTATCACACAATGCAGTATTCGAAAAAAAAAGACAGCAATGGGCCAGGGCTTTTTTTTTTCGAATACCTATACGATAGTTCTGAGCATGACCTTCCCGATAAAGTGGTCGGGTTCAAGCAAAAGGGAAACTTAGACCATTGACCGAAGAGCCGAAAGACCGAATGATTCATCAATAAATCCCTGAGCCTTGAATGATTAAGAACGAAGTGAACGAAATGAACGAAATGAACGACATTTGACGGCCGAGTCTTCGTAGGGACCGAACGATGAACGATCCTTTCGTAATGATGACCGAATCTGCCCATCCCTACTAATCCCTACTGGATTAATCTTCTCTTGGTGGAGACGAACCTGGTATAATAATCCCAGCAGGTCAGGTAAACCATTCGTAGAGAAAAACAAAACAATTTGGGTTGAAAGTAATTGTAAAAGAGACTGAATTACTCAGAAAAGTAATTCGTTACAATTACTCATTACTTGAAAAGGAATTGAATTACAGTAACGAA